GGGTTAGGACCTGGCTATCTAAGTAATGACTAGCACCTTGAAGCATGTTCGGAGACCAATAGGGAGCCAGTGCAGCTCGCGGAGGATAGGTGTAACATGGGTGTATCTAGGTACACCCCATATCACTCGCGCGGCTGCATTCTGGACCAACTGTAGTCTTTGAACACTCTTCAGGGGCAGCCCCATGTAGAGCGCGTTACAGTAATCGATTGGCCTTATTAGACTGCTTGAAACGAGATGGACAGATCGTATTGAGAGGCAAAAATCTAATTTATTTATCCATTTGGCTCCCTACTGTCAACTTCGGTTGGCACCTCCATCCTATCACGAGTGTTGTCCAAGCAGATGTCACAGTCTGAATTTCTCTAGGCTCAGCAAAAGCCCACATGGGAGTGGCCTCAAAAGAGTCCAAAGCTTATAGGCTACAAAACGTGACACCTAAAATCTATGGCATCATGTCCAAGGGAGACAATACATTCCATTTCCTTAAGGTCTTCATTCATTGTGGCTCCATGTCAAAAAAAATCCAGGATAAGAGGCTGGATTGGGACGCGCATTGAAAACCAAGCTAGCAAGGGATGGGTTTGGGTTTTTTTTAATGCTCTGTGCATTGTTGATCCAATGCTCTTCTGCAACAGCTGAAGAGGGGGATTTATATGGGTAGAGGACGGGTTGGAGGGATTTGCAAATTTAATTAATTTGGGCATGTTAGAGAGAAATAATCCTCTAACCTAAGATCCTGTAGTGGGAGTGGTGAGAATAACCTCGCGACTGAAGCAACAGATAAGAGACATCTGAGCCCAGAGCAGAAATGCGGTTTGAGAAAGCAACTCAGAATGACAACTCCACAGTTTTATTTAGGATAAAGGCAGGCCAGAGGGAGGCACATTCAGAGTTGCAAGACTACTGCAGTGACCCGATCATGAAAGTAGTTTTAATATTCATGATTTTGGGCCTGAGTTTGGCCTACTTTGTAGGGCCATGGGCCCCAATCTTTTGGGCCCCGGGGACCGGTTCTGTGGGGGGAGGTTTTTCTGTGGATTGGAGAGGGCATGGTTACATTCCATGGATGGGACTTCGCTTGTTTGTGTGGCCTGGTTCCTGGCATGCCGTGACCCAGTGAAGGGGTGGGCTGCTAGGGGTTCGCAGGGGTTTGGGAGAACCGCTAGTTAAGATTCTGTGCTGTTCGGAAACCCCCCCCCCCAAATCCCACTCCTGGCTGGCCCCGCCCCTCTACCCCTCCCAGGAGTCCTCACGCAGCCCGTTTTAGATAAGTGCAGAGTGAGCACGGAGGCTCGGGGAGGGTGAAAAATGGGCACACTGGAAGTTTGAGAAGACTGCAAACGGTCCCGTTTCCCATCTCCAGAGGGCTCCCGGAGCCTGAGGAGGCTGTTTTTGCCCTCCCGGAGGCTCAACAAAAGCCTCCGGAGCCCGGAGTGGGCAAAAACGCTCCCCTGCTGTGGTGCATGAAGCCAACTAGGCCACATCCCCCATGGCCATGCCCACTCAGCAACCCTTGCTAAAATTTTTGAAGCCCACCCCTGCCCAGTGCCGGTCCAGGAATCAGGGGGCTGGGGACCTCTGTTGTCGGGCTACCATGTCATGGGATTATTTTGGTCACTGAACTCAAATTAGATATTACAGTGTCGAAATGAGACATGTTTTGTTAAAACCTGCAGAGCTTCTTGTCTTAATATGTGTTAAAAGTTTAAAGATACGCTTAGAATGGGATGTTTAGGGTGGGTGCTTTATATATGCTTAATGTATGGTTAATTAAATAAATTAGCTGAGCTTGTCAATCATTCCAATAGCAGTTCTGGATTAATCCAGAAAAGAATCATTGATTTCTGGGCTGGTGTGAATGCATTCCCAGTAGCTCAAAAGACGCTACGTAACTCTATCATAAAAGTAGTTTTAATATTCATAGAAAATCTATATTCTCTACAATTTTTGTTCTGAAGAAGAAGAAAAGGAAAACACAGGTACAGCTTCAGAAGTTATAATGCTAAGTATAATTATCAGCACAAACACATTCTTATTACTGGAGAAATCAACGCAATTCAAACAGAGAAATACACATTTTGGAAAATGCGTATTTGAGGTAAAGGAACTGGGAGATATAGGAAAAATAAAGAAAGGCAGAATCAGGCAGGCATCCATTTATTGAATTATGACAAGGAGGTGGTTAGCATTCAAAAAATGTATGACTGGGTGGAAGGTGGAAAGAGTAGGCGAGAAAATCTCATCCATGTCGATCAGATTTGTGGGTGAATAGAAAGAAGGACCTCAATTAATAATGAGCTGTTAAACATGCAGCTATATGAGGTGAAAAGTATTGAGTGAGCCAAAACCGACTGGCTTTATCTTGTCCATCAGTGGGGATATGATTAAAAGTAGAAAAGCAAAAATATGAATTAAAAAAAGTGAAAGATTGCCAACTGCACCCAAAGGAACGAAAAGAGAGAAGGGGGGGCGGAGGGAAAGAAAGAAAGAAAGAAAGAAGGAAGGAAAGAAAGAAAGAAGGAAAGAAAGAAAGAAAGAAAGAGCTGAAAATATTCGAACTGAAGGAAAGAAAAGCTTCATTAATTGGGGGAAGGAAAAAAATGATTGGAAAAAACTAACCAGATGTTGGATCGCCAAATATTTTGTAATCTGGTGTAGTTGTAGTAGGCAAAATTTCTAAAAGAATTAAAGGAACACGTAATCAGTGAAAAGTAACCAAAAGGAAAAGCAAAAGATTTTCAAAGCCTGAGCAACGGAAAAATCAGAAAATCAAAAGACAATCGGCTACCCAAAAGGGAGGGGAAAAAACAGGCCAGGAAAAAAATTAAAAAGGATCCAATTTAATCATAAAGTGGCTGTGGACCTTCACGAACCAGCGTGATGGTTGCGGGGGGAGGGGGGAAACGGATCGGTCGAAGAAATCCACCACCCGAGATCAAACAGCTTTCAGTTTAAAGGGAGGGCAAGTGCTCAGTGCCATTAAATAAGGATCTTCCACACCACCGTGTGGCTCACAAACCAAACCATGCTGCATTCTCAAGCGGGCATCCGAGAGGGAGGCGCTTACCGTGGCAATCCCCCAGGTGGGCAGTGTTGCCGTACTCCACGTCTTGCTCATACCCTCCAATGCTGTGGTTGTATGAAACAAACAAAGACAACCTGCAATTAACAGCATTAGTTGGGGAATCCAAGGAGGGATGGAACATCATCAACACCATCAATTGAAACAAACGCAAGAACTGCAACGTGAATCGAGGGGTGGGAATCAGCCGGTTCGAACCGGTTCGGGAGAACCGGATGCTAATTTTACAACTGGTTTGCCGAACTGCTAGTTGAAAGGACTGGCTGGCCCCGCCCATCCCTCCCCTCCCAGGAGTCTCCAAGTAGCCCTTTTTGGATGCAGGCAAGTGCAGGGCACATGTGGAAGCTCTGGAAGGGTGAAAAACGGGTCTCCCGGAAGTTCTGGAAGTCGGGAAATGAGCCGTTTTCGAGCTTCTGTAGGGCCCCCGGAGCTCGTGGGAGGCCATTTTCCCCCTCCCAGAGGCTCGAGAAAAGCCTCTGGAGCCTGGGGAGGGCGAAAAACAGGCCTTCCGGAAGACTGGAAACCTCCAGAAAGTGGCCTGTTTCCAACCTCTGGAAGGCCATTTCCCCCCTCCCAGAGGATCGACAAAAGCCTCCGGAGCCAGGGATGTGTGTGAAAATGCCGCCCCACCATAGTATACAGAGGTCAAGGAGGCCATGCCCACCATGGCCACACCTACCCAGCAACCGGGGCAGAGAACCGGTTGCTAAAATTTTTGAATCCCACCCCTGAACGTGATATCTATGCATGTATCTATGTATACGCAGATAATTCTCAATTGACAAAAGTTGACCTTTCAAAGTTGCAATGGACTTGACAAAGATGACTCGTGACTCGTATGCATTATTTATTTATTTACAATATAATAGCGGAGTTGGAAGGGACCTTGGAGGTCTTCTAGTCCAACCCCCTGCCTAAGCAGGAAACCCTATACCATTTCTGACAGATGGCTATTCAACACCTTCTTAAAGACTTTCAGTGTTGGGGCATTCACAACTTCTGGAGGGAAGTTGTTCCACTGATTAATTGTTCAAACTGTCAGGAAATGTCTCCTTAGCTCTAAGTTGCTTCTCTCCTTGATTAGTTTCCACCCACTGCTTCCTGTCCTACCCTAATAGTTTAGTAGATAGTCTTCTAGATCAGTGTTTCTCAACCTTGGCAACTTGAAGATGTCCGGACTTCAACTCCCAGAATTCCCCAGCCAGCATTCGCTGGCTGGGGAATTC